GGGTACCAAATAGTGGCAAATACCAAAATAGTGGCTTAACATTGTCCGTATCGTCCATTTACCCAGTCATGGAAGTGATAGACACTGTCAGATGATAACTAGTTGGATGGGTGTACGTGCGCAAAACTGAAATGTAGCGATAGGTAGTACGAATGTATGTCTGTTCTACATGCCGGAGAGATCTAATATCAAGTGTGATACGCAATACAAATATTTATATTTAAATACAGAGCGAGAGACGCCAGCAAAGGTATATCAATACCGCATGGTCAGATAAGGTGTTAGCCTTTGTCGACCTTTGTTCATATAAAATAATCTATCATATTTAGACCAGCCCAGATCATGCAAATTTCAAAATAAAACGATGACGTCACATAGGTATATTGGACGAGAAGTCACGTTACTTACTGACTGCCTGATATGATGGGCATTTGAGTGAATACTGTTTTATAGGTACCTGGCTGTTTTAGGTGAGTGGTTTATTTTAATTCAATGCATTAGTTAAATAAATAGGATTGAATCGCAGCTTCTACATCCGAGGTGTAAGAAATGCACACACACACACACACACACACACACACAAATAACATCGTCAGTGGCGTTTTATTATTTTTACAGGAAAACTCTTAGTTGATTTTCTTAACAATGATGAGATTCGTGACTACTATGACAGTTTTTGTAACTTGCCTTCTAATTGGCACAGTGCAGGTAGGTTGGCATGGATAAATACTGAGCGACAATGTTTCAGAACCGTGCGTAGATTTTGTTTCACTCTCACTCAATCTATTGCCGTCGATTCGATGTTGTATTTCCGACGAGTGTGACAAAAAAAAAAATACATTTCGTTGTTGAGGTACGTATCTTGTATAAGGAACGAGCCAACGCTTTACTGTGTGTGGCTTTTGTTGGTCATTTTGTGCATACTGCATTGCATTTTTTACTTTATTGGGTGTAATATCTAAGCATAAAACAGACTAGTACTCCATATCGCACTCATTGATTTGCAAATTAATTACTAGTATATTGCATATAATACAAGTCTGAGTATAGGAAGGCTCGGGAAAGTGCACGAACCGGGATTCTTTAGATCATTCAAAAATGGGTTAAAAACATTCTAGTCGAATATTAGTCAGGTGAGTTATGTGTACTGTGTTATAGTATTAGAAACAATAAAATGAACGGATTACCTAGTAACCACACAATGGCAGCTCAAATGTCTCTCCCTAAACTATACAGTCATTTAGATAAACGCTCAGATTATAAATATTATAGTAGTGCGCACGAAGTTAATGAAACACAATAACGTTCTATAATGACCATTTTTTATTTATTTATGAAGTCCAATTTATCGTTACTGATACGCGCCCCATTGTAGCGATACATGGTGATCTGATTAGATATATTCAGTATGGCTTATTGTGCTTTAATACTTTATCCTGCCATGTTTGCTTAGGTAGTCAGCGGTACGCGGACTGGTCACAAGCTGTTGGTTGTCTTGTTTGATGGTCTTCGCTTTGATTTGCTTGGAGAACATCTGAAAAGTTTTGAGATGTTAGCACAGAATGGCGTGCGAAGTGTTTTCACCACGCCTCCGTTTCCAACAATGTCGTCGCCAAGTATGTACACCATAGCGACAGGTATGTATGTCTTAAGGACGTTATCCAAGTTATAAACAGATTCCGCCTGAGATGGCGTTTTCTTGTGGTTTCTGCCGATAGAGGGAAATGTTCAACAATCGACGCTGTGCATATTATCATAACGTTGTGTCATAATAGGTCTGTATGTTGAAAACCATGGCGTAGTTCACAACAGTTACTATAATGCAACGAGTGGAGAAGTGTATGGATATTACAAGACACTCAACATCACCGAATGGTGGGACACCGGCGCTGAGCCTGTGTGGGTGACTGGTAAGCTGCAGGGACTGACGGCTGGTAGCTACGCTTACCCCGGAGGCTCCGTGCCGATCAAAGGAGTCATCAGCGACAAAGTAGTATATAGTACGCCGAGAACAAATTACAGACCTTTGGAGAAAAAAATCGACGACATAATAAGGTGGTTAAGTGACGACGATATCGATATTGTATTCATGTGGCACGGACTACTTGATGATTTGCTACACGTTACAGGAAAATCCTTTCTCACGGACGTGGCTTTGAATCAAATTGACGATGGGGTCGGTTATTTGTACGAACAACTCGAAGACAAAGGATTGCTTAACACTACACACGTGTTGATAACGTCAGACCACGGCCACGTAGAAATAGAAGAAAATATTCACCTTTTCAAGTACATCAGTAGGATGACCTCGATTTTTATCTGGGAAGTGATGGCGCTTTCACCATGATTCTGCCAAAAGAAGGAAAACTTGAGCAGGTGAGTAGAAAAGGCAGCTCCAATGAGTTGCATGATTATTTCCGGCAGCTTGAGGTAGAATGCTACTTGCGTTTTTTTTTTTTTATGTGCCATATGACAGTAGCAATGTCTTGTTTCAACATTTTGGTTAACTGTCAATCTGTTTTTTTTTATTAAAAACGGTAAAACTATACGCATAAAATGTTTGTTTAGCAGAGGTTGCCATAGACCACAATGAACACACATTTCCCCGAAAAAATAAAAATATTGTTATTTTTTTAAAAACTTCTAGACATCACGAAGTACCTTGTAAGACAGTATATAATTTTTTTCACCACATCTCCCCGTACAAAATTTGAAATATTGAGATATATTCGTTCCATAGGAAACAATCGTTATGGTAAAATGCCCTAAAACAGACAAAACTTACTATTTTCACACCATTTGTGTACTTATTTTTTTCCGCACTGAGTACGGTGACCCCATATTTGATTCCATTTTCCCTACCCTCGTAACATGAAAAACGAATTGAGTAAAAATGAATAAAATTACAATATTTTTACTTTTGTTAAGCATTCTATCTTAAAAGATGTTATTGCTTTATAAAAAACAATGTCACGCGAAGAAC